AGTGATGGTAGTGATGGTGGTGGTATTGATGGTGATGGTAGTGATGGTAGTGATGGCAGTGATGGTAGTGATTTAAAAGTTGAATGAAGGAGGTGAGGGGGGGGGGTAGAGGGGGGGGACCATAGGGGTCCGCTGAGGTGGGGGTCTGGGGGGTGGCCGCGGGGGTCCCCGAAAATCCTCGCGAATTATTTATTTATTTACAAACAGGGGATTGGGCAGGAGGTGAAAGAGGAATGGCGGGGTGGGAGGGGGGGTAGCGATGGTGGTGGAGTAGGAGAGGAAAATAAGATCCATGGGGGGGCCTAGGGGTTAGAGTCGGGGTTAGGGGCTCGAGCTGGAGGTGGAGGGAGTTTTGGGGGGGTGAGGGGGGTGAGGGGGGGTGAGGGGGGTGAGGGGGTGGGGTGAGGAATTCAGGCAGTGGGTGATTGTGTTTTTGGAAGTGTGCGTGGCAATGGGTGGCTGTGAGAGGCGCACGGGGGGGGGGGTGAATGGGGGGGGGCGCGACGGGGAGGAGAGGGGGGGGGTGGATGGGGGGGGGGCGACGGGGAGGAGAGGGGGGGGGTGGATGGGGGGGTGAGGGGGGGTGTGAAGGTTGGATCCCAGCATGAGGGCGTCTCTCCGGCACCCGGGCTCCGATTTCTCTTTGGAACTCAGCCAGACGACCACCACCCCCCCTCACCCCCCCCAAAGACGAAGACAAAGATCCCCCGTATAGCCTTAACAGACTGTAGTCAAGTGCTGTCAGCGAGCACCTATGAAGGCCGGAACGGCACACGAGCGAGTGGGTGGCAAGCACCACCCCCGGCCGCCTTTGTCTCCCCAGTGGCGATGTTCACACATCGCACCAGGTACTCATTCGAGGCTGAGTCGACCTAGGGGAGGCCCAGGACGGGTTCAGATAATCGTCACTGGTCTTGGCCGTGAGTGGGAATCGAACCCGGGTCGCCGGGTTGGTAGCGCAGCGTAGTGCTAACCGCTGCACCACCGCTCCCCCTAAACCCACCCCCCCTTCCACAGCCCCCCACACGCCCCCCCCCCCACAGCCCCCTCTTCACAGCCCTCCCCACCCACAGCCCCCGTGCCTATCGGGTAACGGACGGAAGACGCGGGGCGTTTGAGAGTCGCTCCCCGCCTCTGTTCCTCGCCACGTGCGGTGAATGCGGCGCGGGGATTTAAATGAGTCTCGAGCCTGGAGTCAAGTTGACGCCCGGACCTCCCCCCCGCCACCACCCTCCCCGACTCGCTCCCTCCCTCCCCTCCCTCCCCTCCTCCTCCCGCGCTCGCCACCACCACCGCGGCCGCTCTAGACCCCGACGAACACCGCCAACACCACCACCACCACCCCTAAACCACTACCACCACTCTCTACCCTTACCCATAACCCACATCCAACCCTCTCTACCCCTAACTCACTACCACCCTCTCTACCCCTACCCCTAAACCACTACCACCCTCTCTACCCCTCACCCACTACCACCCTCTCTACCCCTACCCCACTACCACCCTCTCTACCCCTACCCCACTACCACCCTCTCTACCCCTACCCCACTACCACCCTCTCTACCCCTACCCCACTACCACCCTCTCTACCCCTACCCCACTACCACCCTCTCTACCCCTACCCATACCCCACCACCACCCTCCCTACCCCTACCCCACCACCACCCTCTCTACCCCTACCCACTACCACCCTCTCTACCCCTACCCATACCCCACCACCACCCTCCCTACCCCTACCCCACTACCACCCTCACTACCCCTACCCCACCACCACCCTCTCTACCCTTAACCCACTACTCTCAGTGACTCTCTCTCTCTCCAACTCCCTTCTCTCCACGGCGTCGCTCTCCCACTCTCTCACTCTGCCCTCTTTCTCTCGTCCCTTTCTCGCCCCTAACCTCCACACTTGCTCCCCTCTCTCTCCTCCCATGCCCCTCTTCCCCTCGGCACCCCCATTTCGCTCCCCCCCTCCTCCTCCTCCCTCTCCCGCCACTCTCTCCGCTCCTACCCCGCTCTCCTCTCTCGCCCGTACGCGGAACGCCACTGCCATCTAGTGGTAGAGAGAGAGCGAGCGAGAGAAGTGGGGTGTAACGAGAGTTGAATAGCAGTGTCTCGCTCTCTCGCTCTCCTCTCTCTGTCTCTCATGCAGCCAGCTATGGCTGCAGAGTTTGGTGGTACATGTTGTTTAGGTCGTTTATTGTGAAAATTCGGTCACAGTTCCTATGACCACTGTTTCATTGCTTTTATGGCTTTATTTTGGTGATTTTCGAAAAGTTTTTTTGGTTTGGCCATGTTTGTTTGTTGTAGTACAGAGTTGGACTGACGGCCTTAATCTAAGTTGTCTTGTGGTTGTTGTTGTTGTTTGACTTGCATCCCACTGGGATATTTGCACAGGGTTGGTGTACGGTGATTTTTCTGCAATATTTTGCTTTCTTTCTGTTTGCACATATTCACTTTAAGATGTTTTCTTGTTCATGTTTTTTGTTTGTTGCGGTTGCACCATGTATTCATGTCTCTGCAATTAGTGTATTGTAACTCTCATAGGTGTTGAGCCTCGTGTTAAATCACTTTATTACACTCGATAAAGGTTGCCGTCACTGTGAATATGGGGGGTGGTTACGTCGAATGACAACAGCCTATAGCCCTCGTGTCATGGTGAGGTTATTCGAAAGCGGTTTAATTGGCAGGAAGATAGCACTGAAGGCCTAGGTGTAAAATGCACGGCACGCCACTACTGTGCAGAGGTCGCAAACGGGTTTTGATTCCTTACCCGTACCCGTACCCGGCCGCACCAGGGTCGCAAACGGGTACCCTACCCGTACCCGGCCGGGTATCGGGTAGGGTACGGGTACAACCGGGTATTGGGTATCGGGTACCTGATTGCGACCTCTGGGATGAAGCCATGTTGCAGGCGCGGGTGGGTTGATTCTAGGAACTTGAATTGTGAGAAGAGACAAGACGTTGGGAAATGAGTGACAACGGTTACTCACCAGTGACTCACGGTTTACCCGTACCCGGCCGCACCAGGGTTGCAAACGGGTACCCGTACCCGGCCGGGTACTGGTAGCCGGGTATCGTGTATGGTACGTGTATCGGGTACCCGGTTGCGACCTCTGCTACTGTGTAGAGACATACAATGGGTCACTACGGCACGTAGCGCTGGTTACCGACAGAGAGAGGGAATGTTGGCGTAACGCCCGACCTGCCGACAGACCGGGGTATGGCAGCCGTTCTACCAGCAGAGCAGTGCCAGCGAGTGGGTCACGAGGGTGCGTGGCGCTGGTCGGCTGGACAGGAGGGGGCATACGAGGACGTGGCACTCCGGCCGGCTGGTGGAGCACGTGATCGGCAGGGGTAAAGGATGTGGGGCAAAGGTGACCGAGGGGACACGTGAGGCATAGCCCAGAACCTTCTGGTGAGTTCTAGAGGGGGCGGAGCCAGGCAGGGAACACGTGGACGGTGGCCCAGATCCTTCTGGCAGGTTGCAGAAGGGATCGTGGCCGAGGGCGGAGCCAGGCCACGCCGGGGGGCATAAAAGGCAAGTCCTGAAGCCGGATCGGGGCTGTCTTGTCGGTGGAATGGAACCCAAGGTGCGACGTCTTCATCTCCGGCGTCGTGGGTCAGACAGCGTTGCCGGCTGTTCTCACCCGGTTGTAGTTGTCCCGTGTGTGAACAGTGTCCAACGGCGTAGAATATAAGCGTGCGTTGCCTCCTACTTTTAGCGTCTCAGAAGTGACTCACGACAACAGCAAAAGGTGCTACTCTGGCACCAGAGGTCGCAACCGGGTACCCGATACCCGGCCGGGTACGGGTACCCGTTTGCGACCCTGGTGCGGCCGGGTATGGGTACGGGTAGGCCGTGAGCCACTGGTGAGTAACCGTTTGTCACTCATTTCAGGTAGGGTATGGGTATGGGTAGGGAACGGGTACCCGTACCCGGCCGGGTACGGGTACGGGTACCCGTTTGCGACCCTGGTGCAGGCCGGGTACGGGTACGGGTAGGCCGTGAGCCACTGGTGAGTAACCGTTTGTCACTCATTTCAGGTAGGGTATGGGTATGGGTAGGGAACGGGTACCCGTACCCGGCCGGGTACGGGTACGGGTACCCGTTTGCGACCCTGGTGCGGCCGGGTACAGGTACGGGTAAGGAATCAAAACCCGTTTGCGACCTCTGTGTGGCATCTATGATCGTGTAATAGCGCCGCCTGGTGGACAGCAGCGGCAACTGCGGTGGGCGGACAGTCCACACGCCGGTGAGCGTGTGCACGGGAGTGTTGGCAGGGCGGAGGAACTGGGGCAAGGGTCACAGAGGACCCCGTCTGGAGACCCCTGGAACCTGCTGGGGGGTTCAAGAAGGGAGGCGCGGCCAGGGCGGAGCAGAGGCGTAGCTCGGGGGGGGCAGGGGGGGTACATATGTCCCCGGGCGCCAAGGTAAAGGGGCGACAAAACGAGGCTTACAACGTGACATTAGAACTTATTGCGGCGGGCGCGGCAGCCCGAAACTACTGCACAAATCTACACCTCAACCTAAAAGTTTATATGTCCCGCCACACACAGCCTGCATGTCATGTAATTACATTTTGGTATGTGATTAAACGGGGGGGGGGGGCGGGGGGCAATATTAGAGTTCATCCCCGGGCGCAAAATATCCTAGCTACGCCTTTGGGGCGGAGCTAGGCGGCGCTGGGAGCATAAAGGGAGCCGAGGGCGAGGGGCTCAAGGCTGCCGGTTCTGGGAATGGACTCATCTCGTCGCCGCCGTGTCCACTAGACACTGAGCTACGAAGGAGAGTATCTCAGTCAGCGCCGTCGGTGTTAGACGGCCGGTGGTTTACAGGCTGGGCTGAGCTACTGTGGAGAGTGTGCGGACGAGACCGTAAAAGTTATTAATAAAGAAAGTGTCTCCTAGAAACTTTGTCTCCAAATCGTTGACACTACACCTGTATGTTCACGACTGTATAGGCACGACTCACCAACAGCAGTCTGTGCGGGCGACACGAGGAAGTTGTGTAATATTTAATTCTTTAATACACACCACACACACAAACACACTGTATCAACGATGACAACACAAGCTATAACCGTGAAACCCGAAATTATTTTCCGTTTTAAAAAAATACCACACACACGTGTCCGAACATACACACACGTGTTCCAACACATGAACACACACACACGCACACGTGCCTCATTTCCATTGCCAATTCTCTTCCCCCTCCCCCGCCCCTCCACTCCTTCCCCCGCCCCCTTCGTGACCCGCAAGAACTCCTCTATCGTGAACCCCCCACCAGTACCACTCTATCGCTGCCGTCACCGATTCCTCAACACCTCGCCGTACAGACCCTGCCAGCCGCATCATTCCTTCCCTGCCACCCGGTTTGTCAAGCCATTGCCAAGCGCCCCGAGCAGAGGAGCTGTATAAATAAATATAAAAATAGGATACCTCCTGACATGCCCACACACAGCGCGCGTGGGGGCAAGCGGGTGATGAGAGTGAGTGAGTGAGCGGGTGATGAGAGTGAGCGAGTGAGTGAGCAGGTGATGAGAGTGAGCGAGTGAGTGAGCGGGTGATGAGAGTGAGCGAGTGTGCGGGTGATGAGAGTGAGCGAGTGAGTGAGCGGGTGATGAGAGTGAGCGAGTGAGCGAGCGGGTGATGAGAGTGAGCGAGTGAGCGAGCGGGTGATGAGAGTGAGCGAGTGAGCGAGCGGGTGATGAGAGTGAGCGAGAGAGCAGGTGATGAGAGTGAGTGAGTGAGCGGGTGATGAGAGTGTGCGAGTGAGTGAGCGGGTGATGAGAGTGAGTGAGCAGGTGATGAGAGTGAGTGAGCAGGTGATGAGAGTGAGCGAGCGGGTGATGAGAGTGAGTGAGCGGGTGATGAGAGTGAGTGAGTGAGCGTGGGGGTGATGAGAGAGAGTGAGTGAGTGTGTGATGAAATTGAGTGAGCGAACGAGTGAGCAGGTTATGAGAGTGAGTGAGCGTGCGGGTGATGAGAGTGAGTGAGCGAGCGAGTGAGCGAGTGAGTGAGTGAGTGAGTGGGTGAGTGAGTGAGTGAGTGGGTGATGAGTGTGAGTGAGCGTGTGGGTGATGAGAGTGAGTGAGTGAGCGTGTGGGTGATGAGAGTGAGTGAGTGAGCAGGTGATGAGAGTGAGTGAGTGAGCAGGTGATGAGAGTGAGTGAGTGAGCAGGTGATGAGAGTGAGTGAGTGAGCGTGCGGGTGATGAGAGTGAGTGAGTGATGAGTGTGAGTGAGTGAGCAGGTGATGAAAGTGAGTGAGTGAGCGGGTGATGAGAGTGAGCGAGTGAGCGTGCGGGTGATGAGAGCGAGTGAGCGCGCGGATGATGAGAGTGAGTGAACAGGTGATGAGAGTGAGTGAGCGAGTGTGTGATGAGAGTGAGTGAGTGAGCGTGTGGGTGATGAGAGTGAGTGAGTGAGCGTGCGGGTGATGAGAGTGAGTGAGTGAGCAGGTTATGAGAGTGAGTGAGCGTGCGGGTGATGAGAGTGAGTGAGCGAGCGAGTGAGCGAGCGAGTGAGTGGGTGAGCGAGTGAGCGAGTGAGTGGGTGATGAGAGTGAGTGAGCTGTTTGCGAGCAGCACCTATGAAGGCCGCCACGGCGTGGGAGTGGGTATCCAGCGCCGCGCCAGGCCCCCTTTGTCTTCGCCAGTGACGGTGTTCTTACTACACACCGCACCGGGTACTCATTTGAAGCCGAGTCAACCTAGCGGAGGGCCGGTTCTGATAATCGGCGACGGTGTTGGTGGCCGCGAGCGGAAATCGAACTCGGGTCGGCGGGTTCGTAGAGCGGGGCGCTAACCACTACACCACCACTCCCCCGCACTCACACACTCACACTCACTCACACTCACTCACACTCACTCACACTCACTCACACTCACTCACACTCACTCACACTAACTCACGCACTCACGCACTCACTCACACGCACTCACACTCACAAAGATCCCCCGTATAGCCTGAACAGACTGTAGGGGCAAGTGCTGTTAGCGAGCACCTATGAAGGCCGGAACGGTACACGAGGGGGTGGGTGGCCAGCACCACGCCCGACCGCCTTTTTCTCCCTAGTGGCGATGTTTACACACCGCACCAGGTACTCATTTAAGGCTGAGTCGACCTAAGGGAGGCCCAGGACCGGTTCAGATAATCGTCACTGGTGTTAGCCGTGAGCGGGAATCGAACCCGGGTCGCCAGGTTCATAGCGCAGCGCGCTAACCGCTACACTACCGCTCCCCACACTCACACACACACTCACACACTCACTCACACACTCACTCACACACTCACACGCACCCACACTCACACACACTCACGCACGAGAGGGCAAGGTGGCCAAGCCCCCACACCCGGCAGTCTTTGTCTCCCCACTATCCCGGTGAACATGCAATCTTGCCCAAACGTCGCCCCAAAGTCGCCCCAACCACGTCCTCGTCGCCCGTCAAGAGAGCAGCGTGTAGCTGGTGTTCAAGCGGTTGTGCATCTGGACGAGTTGGCGCTCGCCGCTGTAGACGAACCAGGAGGGGAACTGGGCCGACTCGAACCTCATGGTCATGTCGGGGAACTCCTTGCGATAGAAGATGAGGCGGAACAGGTCGCTGCTCTTGGTGATGCTCCTGAACTCGTCCCTGCTGTGAGTCTAGGGTGAGGGAGGGGAGGGGGGGAGCGTAAAGAAGGGAGCGATCATAATGAGGGATTTGAGCGTGTCGCTCTGCGAGTCTCTGGGTGTCTGTGCGAGTCTACGGGTCTCTCTGCGAGTCTCTGGGTGTCTGTGCAAGTCTACGGGTCTCTCTGCGAGTCTCTGGGTGTCTGTGTGAGTCTACAGGTCTCTCTGTGAGTCTCTGGGTGTCTGTGTGAGTCTACGGGTCTCTCTGCGAGTCTCTGGGTGTCTGTGCGAGTTTACGGGTCTCTCTGTGAGTCCCTGGGTGTCTGTGTGAGTCTACCGGTCTCTCTGTGAGTCTCTGGGTGTCTGTGTGAGTCTACGGGTCTCTCTGCGAGTCCCTGGGTGTCTGTGTGAGTCTACAGGTCTCTCTGCGAGTCTCTGGGTCTCTATGCGAGTCTACAGGTCTCTCTGCGGGTCCCTGGGTGTCTGTGTGAGTCTACAGGTCTCTCTGCGAGTCTGTGGGTCTCTATGCGAGTCTACAGGGCTCTCTGCGAGTCTGTGGGTCTCTATGTGAGTATATAAGTCTCCGTGCGAGTCACTGGTGACCAGACCGAGACTATTGGGCGAGTGGTCGCGCAAATGATGAGTGAGCGAGCGAGTGAGCATGCGGGTGATGAGAGTGAGTGAGCATGCAGGTGATGAGAGCGAGTGAGCGAGCGGGTGATCAGAGTGAGTGAGCGTACGGGTGAGCGAGTGATGATAGTGAGTGAGTGAGCATGCGGGTGATGAGAGCGAGTGAGTGAGCGGGTGATCAGAGTGAGTGAGCGTACGGGTGAGCGAGTGATGATAGTGAGTGAGTGAGCGTGCGGGTGATGAGAGCGAGTGAGTGAGTGAGTGAGCGAGTGAGCGAGTGAGCGAGCGTGCGGGTGATGAGAGTGAGTGAGTGAGCGGGTGATGAGAGTGAGTGAGTGAGCGGGTGATGAGAGCGAGTGAGTGAGCAGGTGATGAGAGTGAGTGAGTGAGCGTGTGGGTGATGAGAGCGAGTGAGTGAGCATGTGGGTGATGAGAGTGAGTGAGTGAGTGAGTGATGAGAGTGAGTGAGCGAGTGAGTGAGTGTGCGGGTGATGAGAGTGAGTGGGTGAGCGAGTGAGTGAGTGAGCGGGTGATGAGAGTGAGTGAGTGAGTGTGCGGATGATGAAAGTGAGTGAGCGAGTGAGTGAGTGAGTGTGTGGGTGATGAGAGTGAGCGTGCGGGTGATGAGAGTGAGTGAGCGAGTGTGCGGGTGATGAGAGCGAGTGAGTGAGCGAGTGATGAAAGTGAGTGAGCGAGTGAGTGAGTGAGCGAGCGGGTGATGAGAGCGAGTGAGTGAGTGAGTCAGCGTGAGTGAGTGAGCGTGCGGGTGATCAGAACGGGCGAGCGTGAACCCAGCGGAAGGTTCGAGGCGTGGCTCTCTCAGCGATGGGGAAAGAGCCTCGCCGGGTGAGCGAGCGAGCGGGCGGGCGGCTCCCTCACCTCCACGATGAGCTTCACGAGATGTGCGTTGCCCTCCTGGCACGCCAAGTAGCAGTTGGAGTTGTAGAATCCCAGCACCACCGGCTCTCCGGCGTCCACCGGAACCGTCGACTTGAAGCGGAAGATCGTCATGCAGACTGGGGTGGGGGGGCGGGATGATGGGCGGCAAGGGACAGATCAGACGATTGTCATCATCATCGTCGTCATCGTCGTCGTCGTCATCATCGTCATCATTGTCATAGTCACCATAGTCACCGTTATCATTGTCATCGTCATAGTGATCATCATCGTCGTCATCGTCATGATCGTCAGTCATCACCATCGTCGTCATCATCATCGTCACCATAGTCACCATAGTCATCATCATCGTCATAGTGATCAGTCATCATCGTCGTCATAGTGATCATCATCGTCGTCATAGTCACCACAGTCATCGTTACCATCATCATCGTCATTGTGATCATCATCGTCATGATCGTCATCATCGTCAGACGTCACCATCGTCGTCATCATCATCGTCACCATAGTCATCATAGTGATCAGTCATCATCGTTGTCATAGTGATCATCATCGTCGTCGTCATAGTCACCATAGTCATCGTTATCATCGTCATCGTCATAGTGATCATCGTTGCCGTCATCGTCATGATCTTCATCGTCGTCATCGTTATGATCGTCATCATCATCGTCGTCACCATAGTCATCATCATCATCATCGTCGTCATAGTGATCAGTCATCATCGTCGTCATAGTGATCATCATCGTCGTCATAGTTACCATAGTCATTGTTATCATCGTCATCACGAGAGCGGGGCACCGGGAAGCGGGGTAGCCTGCACCAGCCCCACCGCCAAACAATTGCCCCAGCTCTGCCATCCTATACTGGGATGCTCGGGCCAACTCAAATTCCCGATTGTGTTTAGCCCACGTGGTGGCGGGGGGGGGGGCAGCTGGCAAGGAGGCGGGAAGATTGTGCATCGCGACGTTTCAGGCAATGGCCCTGCTTCAGAGCAGTGGTGGCGGTGCCAACACCCGCCGCAGTATTAACCAGGGCGGGACGGGGTGACGGTGGCGTGAGGATCACGGTGGCAGGGGGGGTCACGGGGGTCATGGAGGTGAGGTCATGGAGGTCAGTGGCGAGGGAGTCACGGTGGCGTGGGGGTCACGGGGGTCATGGAGGTGAGAGGGTCACGGGGGTCATGGAGGTCAGTTGCGAGGGGGTCACGGTGGTCATGGTGGCATTGGGGTCACGGGGGTTACGGTGGCATGGGGGTCACGGTGGTGCAGGGGTCACGGTGGCATGGGGGTCACGGGGGTCACGGTGGCATGGGGGTCACGGTGGTGCAGGGGTCACGGTGGTGCAGGGGTCACGGTGGTGCAGGGGTCACGGTGGTGCAGGGGTCACGGTGGTGCAGGGGTCACGGTGGTGCGGGGGTCACGGTGGTGCGGGGTTCACGGTGGCGCGGGGGTCACGGGGGTCACGGGGGTCACAGAGGTGAGGGGATCACGGTGGTCACGGTGGTGCAGGGGTCACGGGGGTCACGGGGGGTCACGGGGGGTCACGGGGGTCACGTACAGGCGTCGGGTGCGGGGCTGCGACAGGGCGCCACGCGCACGCTGCCGTCGGCTGCGCGCGTCACCGCACTGTCCCGCTCGTCCAGCAGACGCACACGCGGCTCCTCGAGCAGCAGCCGCAGCACCAGGCTGCTGAGGCTGCCGCTGCGGCCTGGGGGGGGGGGGGGGGTTAGTGAAGAGGAGGTGGAGGTTGGGAGTGTGCGTTAGTGTGTGTGTGTAGTGTGCGTGTAGTGTGTGTGTGTAGTGTGTGTGTGTAGTGTGTGTGTAGTGTAGCGTGTGTAGTGTGTGCGCGTAGTGTGTGCGTGTAGTGTGTAGTGCGCGCGTGTAGTGCGCGCGTGTAGTGTGTGCAGTGTGTGTAGCGCGTGCAGTGTGCGTAGTGTGTAGTGTGTGCGTGTAGTGTGCGCGTGTATTGTGCGCGTGTGGTGTGTGTATGTCAGCTGACCCGTGGCACCTGGGTCTGCCCCGTGACCTCCTGCCAGCGGGCGTTCGACACTTCACGTGGTCTCAAGGTGCACAAGTCCTGGCACAAGCGTCGTGGTGACGTCACCGCCACTTAGTGGCGAATGGCGGTTGTTGTTGTTGTGTGTGTGTCTGTGTATTTGTGGGGGAGCGGTGGTGTCGCGGTTAGCGCTGCGCTATGAACCCGGTGACCAGAGTTCGATTCCCGCTCACGGCCACCACACCGGACACGATTATCTAAACCGGTCCTGGGCCTCCCTTAGGTCGACCTATCCTCAAATGAGTACCTGGTGCGGTGTGTAAACATCGCCACTGGGGGAGACAAAGGCAGCCGGGCGTGGTGTGCTAGTCACCCACCCCCTCGTGTGCCGTGCCGGCCTTCACAGGTGCTACTCGCTAACAGCACTTGCCCCTACAGTCTGTTAAGGCTACACGAGGGGTGGGGAGGAATATTTCTTTGTTGTTGTTGTGTATTTCCGTGCGCGTGCGTGTGTGTGTGTGCGCGTGTGCGCGCGCGTCACTGTGTGTGTGTGTGTGGCTATCAAGGTGCACGTGACATGACCCACTACCCATCTCACCCAGGTCTCCGTGTTGCTCTTTCTCCCCACTCATCCATCTCCGCACACCTCCACATATCTCTCAGCATCTCCACCCCCCCCCCACCCTCTCAACTCCACCACCCCCACGTACCGGCGGCAAAGCTGAGCGCGGTGCGGCGCGCCTGCACGTGCTCCGTGCTGCAGTCGAGCCTCCCGCAGGCTCCGCAAGCCTCCTCGGGGCCACGCATCTTCATCACCATGAAGTCGGGCCGACGGAAGATGAGCGCCAGGCTGCCCTCGCCGTTCCGCGCCAGAGCCTCCTCCAGCAGCTCCTCCCAGCCGCGCTCACCGTCACCGACGTCCAAGCCCTCGACCGTGGCGTGGCCCGGCTTGACGCACGCGCCGTTGCCGGGCTGCGGAGGGGAGGGACGGGAGGAGGAAGAGGAAGATGAAGCCGTGGAAAATCGGTTGCGTGTCGGAAACTGTTCCGGACTGGTGGCAGTTCCGCGGGGTTGTCCGCTTCTTGTGTGGAGAGAGAGTGAGGACGACTCTGAGAGAGAGAAAGAGAGAAGGGGGAGGACGACTCAGAGAGAGGGGGGGGGAGGACGACTCAGAGAGAGAGGGGGGGGGGGACGACTCAGAAAGAGAGAGAGAGGGGGGTAGGATGACTCAGAGAGAGAGAGAGGGGGGGAGGACGACTCAGAGAAAGAGAGAGGACGACTCAGAGAAAGGATGACTCTAAACTATTAAACTAAACTATTTTTTTGTTATCTTAGGCAAGGCCCACTGAACGACCTGGCCACAAATGATAGCCCAACTAAGGGTCTACTCAAAATGACGTGAAAATGTGTAGCAATTACAAAGACATTAATTCTAAAATGTGGAGAAAACAAAACCGGAGGACTCGGGAGAAAAATCCACAAGACCACGGGGAGAGAGAGAGAGACAGAGACGCAAACTCCAAATATACAGCAGCAGGCGCCAGGGTCGGGATTAAACTCACGACCTCCTGCACACCAGGCGAGGTAGTTAACATCTCAAAGCCACCGTGATGATGATGAGAGAGAGAGACACACAGCTCCAAATATACAGCAGCAGGCATCAGGGTCAGGATCGAACCCACGACCTCCTGTACACCAGGCGAGGTAGTTAACATCTCAAAGCCACCGTGATGATGATGAGAGAGAGAGAGACACACAGCTCCAAATATACAGCAGCAGGCATCAGGGTCAGGATCGAACCCACGACCTCCTGTACACCAGGCGAGCTAGTTAACATCTCAAAGCCACCGTGATGATGATGAGAGAGAGAGACAAACAGCTCCAAATATACAGCAGCAGGCATCAGGGTCAGGATCGAACCCACGACCTCCTGTACACCAGGCGAGCTAGTTAACATCTCAAAGCCACCGTGATGATGATGAGAGAGAGAGACACACAGCTCCAAATATACAGCAGCAGGCATCAGGGTCAGGATTGAACTCACGACTTCCTGTACACCAGGCGAGTTAGTTAACATCTCAAAGCCACCGTGATGATGATGAGAGAGAGAGACACACAGCTCCAAATATACAGCAGCAGGCATCAGGGTCAGGATCGAACCCACGACCTCCTGTACACCAGGCGAGCTAGTTAACATCTCAAAGCCACCGTGATGATGATGAGAGAGAGAGACACACAGCTCCAAATATACAGCAGCAGGCATCAGGGTCAGGATCGAACCCACGACCTCCTGTACACCAGGCGAGTTAGTTAACATCTCAAAGCCACCGTGATGATGATGAGAGAGAGAGAGACACACACTCACCCACCCGGTGAGCCCCCCCCCCCCCCCCCCCCCCCGCTCACCTGGGCATCATCCTGCTGCTCCGTGAGGCTCAGGTGCAGGGGAAGGCACTCGGTCTCCCAGCCGCTGCATCGCATCACCGCCTCGCGACTCAGATCGACGGCCGGGAAGGGGACCACGGCGGCCGGAGCCCCTCCTCCCTGGGAGGTGGTGGGTCTCCGGGGGCTGCGGGGTCTGGGACTGCGCGGGCTCTGGTCGCTCTCCTCGCGATGGATGTCCTGGAAACCGGAGAGGAGAGAGAGAGCGATGAGAGGGCGATGAGTAACTGCGAGAAGGGCTGCGTGCAGAACGAGAGAGAGCGAGAGAGTGAGCGAGAGAGTGGGCGAGAGAGTGAGCGAGAGGGTGAGCGAGAGGGTGAGCGAGAGGGTGAGCGAGAGGGTGAGCGAGAGAGTGAGCGAGAGAGTGAGCGAGAGAGTGAGCGAGCGGGTGAGCGAGAGAGTGAGCGAGAGAGTGAGCGAGAATTGAGCGAGAGATTGAGTGAGAGAGAGAGAGAGCGAGCGAGAGAGCGTTTACATAAAGCAAAGTTATTATTTTTAAAAAAAATTACGAAATGATGAACGAAGCAAAGTGCCAATTACACCGAGCATCTTCTTGTTTCCTCTGATCGTAAAAAAGTAAAAGAAGAGAGGAGACGGGGGAGAGCGAGCGAGAGAGACAGAGAGAGAGAGACAGACTGCACAAGTCGAAGGCAGGGAGTGAGGAGAGTTTGGCGAGAGGGCGGAGAGGTGATGGCAGTGTTTTGTGAGCAAGAGAGAGAGGGCGGAGAGAGAGGGAGGAGTGGAGAGCGCTGAGATGTGACAGCCTGCGCGCTCTCTGGGCGAAAAGCTGCTATGGGGGGTGGTGGTGGGTCAGGAGTGGGGGTGGAGGGACATGGAAATTCCACCCCTACACGCACGCAGAGCCCAGTATCTAGATTGAGATGGTACTGGTGGTGGTGACGATGGTGCTGATGATGGCGATGATGATGGTAATGATGGTGCTGATGATGGCGATGATGATGGTAATGATGGTGCTGATGGTAATGATGATGGCGATGATGATGGTGATGATGATGGCAATGATGATGGTGCTTATGATGGCAATGATGGTAATAATGATGGTGATGATGATGGTACTGGTGGTGATGATGATGGTAATGATGATGGTAATGATGATGGTGCCGATGATGGTGCTGATGGCGATGATGGCGATGATGGTAATGATGATGGCGATGGCGGTGGTGGTGGTGGCGATGCTGATAACGCGACGAGAACTCTCGTAATCACACCACGTGGTGACGCTGCTGCTGTACACAATCACAGACAACCACGCCAACGGTGTGCGCGGCTTTCAAATTATACATAGACATGCTAGCCAACGTTTCGAGCAATGGCCCTTCTTCAGAGCATCACACGGGAAGTGGACATTGACTCCTGCACATCTGCGAATCTGCTGGACATCTGTGAAAAAGATTTATATAGCTTATCGGATTCCTCCACTATGATTAAACATTCGCATATTGCCTTTTAAGGCCATATGCAAAGACAACACGCCGTTGTTGTCACCCCCCCCAACTCCACCGGAAGTCTCTATTCAAGTCCCAACCAATTCACATGCTGATGAGGACGCTGGCGGGATTTTCCCGAAACCACATCCCTCTCCGCCTCCTCCTCCACCTCCCTCCCCGCCTCCTCCCCCCCCACCCCCTCCACCTCCCCCCCCACCCCCTCCACCTCCCCCCCCACCCCCTCCACCTCCCTCCCTCCCCACCCCCTCCACCTCCCTCCCTCCCCGTCCCCTCCACCTCCCTCCCTCCCCGTCCCCTCCACATCCCTCCCCGTCGCGCCGAACCTGAAGCTCTCACCAGGCCGGCAAAGCAAAGAAGATGTGCGGGAACCAGGAGCATTGACGCTGGGAAGAGTACGAAAACTCGCAAGACGCTGCCTGTTTGCTGTTGCTGCTGTTGTTGTTGTTGTGGTCTCGCTGCCCAAAGCGCCACCCCCTTCCGCTCCGCACACTAAACCATCGGGTTTTGTGTGTTACATTCCTCACGAGTGCGTGTGTTTACCAGAACCCTGAGCCACACACCCCCCCCCCCCCATGCTACGCGTTTCCACGGTCACACCCCCTTCCCCCTCCCCACCGCCACAAGCCGGCCATCGCCACACAATTTACCCACCCATTCATTTATTCATCCATCCATCCAACCATTCATTTATTCATCCATCCATCCAACCATTCATCCACCCACCCACTCATATACCGCTCACCGCACCCGCCCATTCAGACATCCACTCATTAATCCATCCACCCATTCACCCACTCATTCACCAATCCACCCATTCACCAATCCACCCATCCACCAAATCACCCATTCATCCATCCACCCATCCACCAATCCACCCATTCACCAACCCACCCATTCACCAATCCACCCATTCACCAACCCACCCATTCACCAATCCACCCACCCATTCACCAATCCACCCACCCATTCATCCATCCACCCACCCATCCACCTATCCACCAACCCACTCACCCATTCATCCACTTCACCCACCAACTCTACCATCCACTGGGAAAGCCACCTGCCGCATCTCCCCCCCCACTCCCCCTCCCCCAACTCGCTCGCCCCCCCCCCACTTTCTCGCCCCCCCCCCCCACTCGCTCGCCCCCCCCTCCCCCCACTCGCTCGCTCCCCCCCCACTCGCTCGCTCCCCCCCCCACTCGCTCGCTCCCCCCCCACTCGCTCGCTCCCCCCCAACTCACTCGCCCCCCCCCCCAACTCGCTCGCCCCCCCCCCACTCGCTCGCCCCCCCCCCCCCACTCGCACGCCCCCCCTCCCCCCCGCACGCCCTCACCATGGTGAGCATGGTGCTGGAGCTCACGGCGAGTCCCAGCTCCGAGGGGGTCACGTGCTGCAGGGGGACCCCGTTCACCTCCAGGATGAGGTCCCCCTTCCTGTGTCAGGGGAACACAGCAGCAGGAGCAGGAGCATCAGCAGCGTGATCATCATCAGCAGCATCAGCAGCAGCATCATCAGCATCGTCAGCAGCATCAACAGCATGATCAGCAGCAGCAGCAGCATGATCAGCAGCAGTATTATCAGCATCGTCATCTGCAGCATTATCAGTCGCGTCATGAGCATGAGCATCATCAGCAGCATCATCAGCATGATCATCAGCAGCATCAGCATCATCATCAGCATGATCATCAGCAGCAGCATCAGCAGCACGTGTTGTTGTCCTTCCCCCGCACTGCCGACGAACACGGTGGGCTACGCACGGAGCAGAAGTGGCCCCAAGCAGCACCACGACCCCCTCTCACTCTGTGGCACCCCCTCACCTGAGCCCCCCCCCTCACCTGAGCCCCCCCCTCTCACCTGAGCCCCCCCCCTCTCACCTGAGCCCCCCCCTCACCTGAGCCCCCCCCCTCTCACCTGAGCCCCCCCCCTCTCACCTGAGCCCCCCCCCCTCTCACCTGAGCCCCCCCCCTCTCACCTGAGCCCCCCCCCTCTCACCTGAGCCCCCCCCTCACCTGAGCCCCCCCCCTCACCTGAGCCCCCCCCCCCTCACCTGAGCCCCCCCTCTCACCTGAGCACCCCCCTCTCACCCGAGCTCCCCCCTCTCACCTGAGCACCCCCCTCTCACCCGAGCTCCCCCTCTCACCCGAGCTCCCCCCTCTCACCTGAGCCCCCCCCCCCTCACCTGAGTCCCCCCTCTCACCTGAGCTCCCTCCCTCTCACCTGAGAACCCTCTCACCTGAGCCCCCCCCTCACCTGAGCCCCCCCTCTCACCTGAGCACCCCCCTCTCACCCGAGCTCCCCCCTCTCACCTGAGCCCCCCCCCCTCACCTGAGCCCCCCCTCTCACCTGAGCTCCCTCCCTCTCACCTGAGAACCCTCTCACCTGAGTCCCCCCCTCACCTGAGCCCCCCCCTCACCTGAGCCCCCCCTCACCTGAGCCCCCCCCTCACCTGAGCCCCCCCCTCACCTGCGCCCCCCCCTCACCTGAGCCCCCCCTCACCTGAGCCCCCCCCCTCACCTGAGCCCCCCCCCCTCACCTGAGCCCCCCCCCCTCACCTGAGCCCCCCCTCTCACCTGAGCCCCCCCCTCACCTGAGCCCCCCCCTCACCTGAGCCCCCCCCTCACCTGAGCCCCCCCCTCACCTGAGCCCCCCCCCTCACCTGAGCCCCCCCCCCTCACCTGAGCCCCCCCCCCTCACCTGAGCCCCCCCTCTCACCTGAGCTCCCTCCCTCTCACCTGAGAACCCTCTCACCTGAGCCCCCCCCTCACCTGAGCCCCCCCCCTCACCTGAGCCCCCCCCCTCACCTGAGCCCCCCCCTCACCTGAGCCCCCCCCTCACCTGAGCCCCCCCTCACCTGAGCCCCCCCTCACCTGAGCCCCCCCCTCACCTGAGCCCCCCCCTCACCTGAGCCCCCCCCTCACCTGAGCCCCCCCTCACCTGAGCCCCCCCCTCAGCCCCCCTCTCACCTGAGCTCGATCCCTCTCACCTGAGACCCCTCTCACCTGAGCCCCCCCCTCACCTGAGCCCCACCCCCTCACCTGAGCCCCCCCCCCCCTCAGCCCCCCTCTCACCTGAGCTCCCTCCCTCTCACCTGAGCCCCCCCCCCCCTCACCTGAGCCCCCCCCACAGCCCCCCCCTCACCTGAGCCCCCCCCTCAGCCCCCCCCCCTCACCTGAGCCCCCCCCACAGCCCCCCTCTCCCTCAAGCCCTACCCCCCCCCACTCCTCTCACCTGATGAGGCCACGTGGGTGGTTGAGGAAGGCCACCTCCGTCACGATGTACGTGTGAACTCCGCCCGACCTCTGAACTTTGACTTCCACCACCACAGTGGCGGGGAAGCCCTGGAGAGAGGGAAGGAGGGAGGGAGGGAGGGGGGGTCAAAGCGAGAGGTCAGGAGGTCAGCCACGGCCAGCGACGCTACGGAGGCGTCGCGAGGACCAATCACGTCGTCCGCTTCGAGCGATGTCGTCATGGCGGTTATTGCGAAATCACAAAGAGATGGGCACGCTGGGAGTTCCACCGAGGGAGTGAGAGGGGGGCGGGGGGGGCACGCGGACGAGAGGACACACACGGGCGGGGTAGAGACATCACCACCATCATCACCACATCGATCTCCATCCAGCAGTAGATAGGCCATGGTGGTGATGATCACACGCGGGGTAGATACATCACCACCATCATTACCACATCGATCTCCATCCAGCAGTAGATAGACCATGGTGGTGATGATGATCACACGCGGGGTAGAGACATCACCACCATCATCACCACATCGATCTCCTATCCAGCAGTAGATAGGCCATGGTGGTGATGATCACACGCGGGGTAGATACATCACCACCATCATCACCACATCGATCTCCGCCCAGCAGTAGATAGACCATGGTGGTGATGATCACACACGCTGGGGGGTAGAGGAGGAGGAGGCATCGTGCAGACTGCGAAGCGGAGTGAGTGGTGGGGCTTGGGCAGGAGGCGTCACGCCCAGAGGGGGACGGCGGTGGCCGATGGTCGAGACTCAGCACGGAGCGGCAGTCGAAGGAGGGAGCCGCGGGGGAGGGGGAGGACATCCACCACCACCAGGGAGACGGAGACACGGGAGGGAGAAGGGGAGGGAGGGAGGGGGGGGGAGGCATTCATCCAGCAGTGGAGCGACCACGGCTCATGATGGGGAGGAGCTCAGCTCGTGGTTGCTGTGGCACAAGACTCCAGGAGGGTGCTGCCAAGTTTGAGCGGCAGGGGGCGATGCTGCCGCTGTCACGGTGGTCGATATTCAAAGAGTGCAGGGGAGCGGTGGCGCCGTGGTTAGCGCGCTGCGCCACCGATCAGCCGGCTCGGACCCCCAGTGTCGATTCCGGCGACGATTTGCCTCCCCCTAGGTCGACTCAGCCTCAAAGCGAGTACTTGTGGCGGTGTTTATATCGAGAGCGCCACTGGGGAGACAAAGGCGGCCGGGGGTGGTGCTGGGTCACCCACCTCTTGGTGTGCCGTGCCGGCCTTGATTTGACGTTTCTCGCTAACATTCAAATCACAAACCACACACCACACCCACACTCTCTCTCTGCTGAACAGGGAGAGAGTAACAAACACCAACATGCCTCACAATCAAGTCAGGTGAGTCAGGTGAGTGGGTGACAAGGCAGGCGAGAAGCTGACAAGGCAGGTGAGAAGTTGACAAGTCAATTGAGTAATTGACAAGTCAGGTGAGAAGTTGACAAGTCAGTTGAGTAATTGACAAGTCAGATGAGTAATTGGCAAGTCAGGTGAGTAGCTTACAAGTCAGTTGAGTAATTGACAAGTCAGATGAGTTATTGACAAGTCAGGCGAGTAGTTGAGGCAGGTGAGTAGGTGACAAGGCAGGCGAGTAGTTGTCAGGCGAGGCAGGCGAGTAGTTGAGGCAGGTGAGTAGCTGACAAGTCAGTTGAGTAGCTGACAAAGCAGCTTAGTAGTTGAGGCAGGTGAGTAGGTGATGGGCAAGGCAGGTTGGTACACGCGGTGTTCACACAGTTGGTATCGTAGCTGGCGGGGATTGCGTTACGAGACATCTTCGTCGTTCTCCGTGTCCACGGCGACAGGCGAGCAAGTACCGTGGCACGAGAGTTGCCATAACAACCGCTCTGCATGTGCACTTCATCCTATTTCCTGCTCTACCTCCGTGTCTCATCCACGATGCCTTTGACAGGAGGCCGGGGTATTCCTCCATCCCGCATGTGAATGACGACGACGACGATGATGATGATGGATACGCTGTACAGACCCGCTAATTTCGATTTAAAGCTTTCGTGACTGCAGGGATTCATCTTCTTGGTTCTTTCGGTAAAGTCACGTAGAAGGGGAATAATAAAATAACAAAACATAATAAAATAATTCTCACAACGCAAGCAGCCGTCCTCAGGTCAAAAACAGGTGAAAAACAGGTCTGTCTTCCCGACAGACCTGTTCTTCACCTGAGGACGGCTGCTCGCGTTGTGGCCGAAACGTCGTGAGAAATATTTTATTATGTTTTATTTTTAGTATTTTATTATTTCCCTTCTACGTGACTTTACCGAAAGAACCAAGAAGACCCGCTAATGGTTCTCTACAAGCCCCGAGCAACGGCTCATGTGGGCCGAACCCCGTTATGGCAAAGTCAGATCATCCCTCGCTGGTCTTTTTAAACTTCTCAGATGCTTCGGCGGGTCCTGTGGCATATGTTATATATATGCCACAGGACCCGGGGGCGAGGGGGGGGCTGACATGTGTTTGTGGACTAAGCACATTCTTAGAGCAGCCGCCACTCATGGGGACTTTCGTCTAGAGCTTTAGAATTGTATTGTGGGTAGGTGGGTGGGTGGGTAGGTGGGTGGGTAGGTAGGTGAGTGGGTAGGTGAGTGGGTAGGTGAGTGGGTAGGTGAGTGGGTAGGTGGGTGGGTAGGTGGGTGGGTGGGTGGGTAGGTGGGTAGGTAGGTGGGTGGGTGGGTGGGTAGGTAGGTAGGTAGGTGGGTGGGTGGGTGGGTAGGTGGGTGGGTGGGTGAGTGGGTGAGTAGGTGGGTGGGTAGGTGGGTGGGTAGGTGGGTGGGTAGGTGGGTGGGTAGGTGGGTGGGTAGGTGGGTGGGTAGGTGGGTGGGTAGGTGGGTGGGTAGGTGGGTGGGTAGGTGGGTGGGTAGGTGGGTGGGTAGGTAGGTGAGTGGGTAGGTGAGTGGGTAGGTGGGTGGGTGGGTGGGTAGGTACGTGGGTGGGTACGTGGTTGGGTAGGTGAGTGGGTAGGTGAGTAGGTAGGTGGTTGGGTAGGTGGGTGGGTAGGTGGGTGGGTAGGTGGGTGGGTGGGTAGGTGGGTGGGTGGGTAGGTACGTGGGTGGGTACGTGGTTGGGTAGGTGAGTGGGTAGGTGGGTAGGTACGTGGTTGGGTAGGTGGGTGGGTAGGTGAGTAGGTAGGTGGGTAGGTGGGTGGGTAGGTGGGTGGGTAGGTAGGTGAGTAGGTACGTGGTTGGATAGGTACGTGGTTGGGTAGGTGAGTGGGTAGGTGAGTAGGTAGGTGGGTAGCTACGTAGGTAGGTAGGTGGGTAGGTACGTAGTTAGGTAGGTAGTTAGGTAGGTGGGTGGGTAGATAGGTACGTGGGTAGGTACGTGGGTGGGTAGGTACGTGGGTAGGTGGGTAGGTAAGTGGGTAGCTACGTAGGTAGGTAGGTACGTGGGTAGGTGGGTGGGGTACGTGGTTGGGTAGGTGAGTGGGTGAGTGGGTAGGTGGGTGGGTGGGTGGTTGGGTAGGTGAGTGGGTAGGTGGGTAGGTGGGTAGGTGGGTGGGTAGGTACGTGGGTAGATCTGCAGTTTGGCGCCTTACTTCTGGAGCTGCTGGGAGCGATGCCATTGCTGCTCCTGCTGCTGCTCGTCCTGTAGCTGCTGCTATTGTTGCTGCTGTTGTTGCTGCTGTTGGTGCTGTTGTAGCTGCTGTTGTTGTTGCTGTTGCTGCCGTTGTTGTTGTAGCTGTTGTTGCTGCTGTTGTTGTTGTTGCTGTTGTTGTTGCTGTTGTAGCTGCTGGCGGTCCCGAGGTGTCGACTGAGCGGCAGGCGTCGTGACGCGGAGTTTTTAAGCGCAAGGGGCAAGGGGCGGACCAGGAAGGGCGTGTGGCGCATCGAGATGCGAGTAACTCCTCCTCCTCCTGCTGCTGCTGCTCACCTCCTCACCCTCACCTCCTCCTCCTCCTCCTGCTGCTCCTCCTCACCACCTCCTCACCACCTCCTCCTCACCACCTCCTCCTCCTCACCACCTCCTCCTCACCACCTCCTCCTCCTCACCACCTCCTCCTCACCACCTCCTCCTCACCACCTCCTCCTCCTCACCTCCTCCTCCTCACCACCTCCTCCTCACCACCTCCTCCTCCTCACCACCACCTCCTCCTCACCTCCTCCTCACCTCCTCCTCCTCACCACCTCCTCCTCCTCACCACCACCTCCTCCTCACCTCCTCCTCACCACCTCCTCCTCCTCACCACCTCCTCCTCCTCACCACCACCTCCTCCTCACCACCTCCTCACCACCTCCTCACCACCTCCTCACCACCTCCTCCTCCCCACCACCTCCTCACCTCCTCCTCCTCCTCCTCCTCCTCACCACCTCCTCCTCACCACCTCCTCACCTCCTCCTCACCACCTCCTCCTCCTCACCACCTCCTCACCTCCTCCTCACCACCACCTCCTCCTCACCACCTCCTCACCTCCTCCTCACCACCTCCTCACCACCTCCTCCTCACCACCTCCTCCTCCTCACCACCTCCTCACCTCCTCCTCACCACCTCCTCCTCACCTCCTCCTCCTCCTCACCTCCTCCTCACCTCCTCCTCACCTCCTCCTCACCACCTCCTCCTCCCCACCACCTCCTCACCACCTCCTCCTCCTCACCACCTCTTCCTCCCCACAACCTCCTCCTCACCACCTCCTCCTCACCACCTCACCACCTCCTCCCCACCTCCTCCTCACCTCCTCACCACCTCCTCACCACCTCCTCCTCCTCCCCACCTCTTCCTCCCCACAACCTCCTCCTCACCACCTCCTCCTCCTCACCTCCTCCTCACCACCTCCTCACCACCTCCCCACCACCTCCTCACCTCCTCCTCACCTCCTCACCACCTCCTCACCACCTCCTCCTCCTCCCCACCTCTTCCTCCCCACAACCTCCTCCTCACCACCTCCTCACCTCCTCACCACCTCCTCCCCACCTCCTCCTCCCCACAACCTCCTCCTCACCACCTCCTCCTCACCACCTCCTCCTCCTCACCTCCTCCTCCTCACCACCTCACCACCTCACCACCTCCTCCTCCTCACCACCTCCTCCTCACCACCTCACCACCTCACCACCTCCTCCTCCTCACCACCTCACCACCTCACCTCCTCCTCCCCACCTCTTCCTCCCCACAACCTCCTCCTCACCACCTCACCACCTCACCTCCTCACCAGCTCCTCCTCCTCACCACCTCACCACCTCACCACCTCCTCCTCCTCACCACCTCACCACCTCCTCCTCACCACCTCCTCCTCACCACCACCTCCTCCTCACCACCTCACCACCTCCTCCTCCTCACCTCCTCACCACCTCCTCACCACCTCCTCCCCACCTCTTCCTCCCCACAACCTCCTCCTCACTACCTCCTCACCTCCTCACCACCTCCTCCCCACCTCTTCCTCCCCACAACCTCCTCCTCACCACCTCACCACCTCCTCCTCCTCACCACCTCCACCTCCTCACCTCCTCCTCCTCACCACCTCACCACCTCCTCCTCCTCACCACCTCACCACCTCACCACCTCACCTCCTCACCACCTCCTCCTCCTCACCACCTCACCACCTCACCACCTCCTCCTCCTCACCACCTCACCACCTCCTCCTCACCACCTCCTCCTCACCACCACCTCCTCCTCACCACCTCACCACCTCCTCCTCCTCACCTCCTCACCACCTCACCACCTCCTCCTCCTCACCACCTCACCACCTCACCACCTCCTCCTCCTCACCACCTCACCACCTCCTCCTCACCACCTCCTCCTCACCACCACCTCCTCCTCACCACCTCACCACCTCCTCCTCCTCACCTCCTCACCTCCTCCTCACCACCTCCTCCCCACCTCTTCCTCCCCACCACCTCCTCCTCACCACCTCCTCACCTCCTCACCACCTCCTCCCCACCTCTTCCTCCCCACAACCTCCTCCTCACCACCTCACCACCTCCTCCTCCTCACCACCTCCACCTCCTCACCTCCTCCTCCTCACCACCTCGTCCTCACCACCTCACCACCTCCTCACCACCTCCTCCTCCTCACCACCTCACCACCTCACCACCTCACCTCCTCACCACCTCCTCCTCCTCACCACCTCACCACCTCACCACCTCCTCCTCCTCACCACCTCACCACCTCCTCCTCACCACCTCCTCCTCACCACCTCACCACCTCCTCCTCCTCACCTCCTCACCACCTCACCACCTCCTCCTCCTCACCACCTCACCACCTCACCACCTCCTCCTCCTCACCACCTCACCACCTCCTCCTCACCACCTCCTCCTCACCACCACCTCCTCCTCACCACCTCACCACCTCCTCCTCCTCACCTCCTCACCACCTCACCACCTCCTCCTCCTCACCACCTCACCACCTCACCACCTCACCTCCTCACCACCTCCTCCTCCTCACCACCTCACCACCTCACCACCTCCTCCTCCTCACCACCTCACCACCTCCTCCTCACCACCTCCTCCTCACCACCACCTCCTCCTCACCACCTCACCACCTCCTCCTCCTCACCTCCTCACCACCTCACCACCTCCTCCTCCTCACCACCTCACCACCTCACCACCTCCTCCTCCTCACCACCTCACCACCTCCTCCTCACCACCCTCCTCCTCACCACCACCTCCTCCTCACCACCTCACCACCTCCTCCTCCTCACCTCCTCACCACCTCCTCACCACCTCCTCCCCACCTCTTCCTCCCCACAACCTCCTCCTCACCACCTCCTCACCTCCTCACCACCTCCTCCCCACCTCTTCCTCCCCACAACCTCCTCCTCACCACCTCACCACCTCCTCCTCCTCACCACCTCCACCTCCTCACCTCCTCCTCCTCACCACCTCGTCCTCACCACCTCACCACCTCCTCACCACCTCCTCCTCCTCACCACCTCACCACCTCACCACCTCACCTCCTCACCACCTCCTCCTCCTCACCACCTCACCACCTCACCACCTCCTCCTCCTCACCACCTCACCACCTCCTCCTCACCACCTCCTCCTCACCACCTCACCACCTCACCACCTCCTCCTCCTCACCACCTCACCACCTCCTCCTCACCACCTCCTCCTCACCACCTCACCTCCTCACCACCTCCTCCTCCTCACCACCTCACCACCTCACCACCTCCTCCTCCTCACCACCTCACCACCTCCTCCTCACCACCTCCTCCTCACCACCTCCTCCTCCTCACCACCTCCTCCTCCTCACCTCCTCCTCCTCACCACCTCACCACCTCACCACCCTCCTCCTCCTCACCACCTCCTCCTCACCACCTCACCACCTCACCACCTCCTCCTCCTCACCACCTCACCACCTCACCTCCTCCTCCCCACCTCTTCCTCCCCACAACCTCCTCCTCACCACCTCCTCACCCATCCTCACCACCTCCTCCCCACCTCTTCCTCCCCACAACCTCCTCCTCACCACCTCCTCACCACCTCCTCCCCACCTCTTCCTCCCCACAACCTCCTCCTCACCACCTCCTCACCTCCTCACCACCTCCTCCCCACCTCTTCCTCCCCACAACCTCCTCCTCACCACCTCCTCACCTCCTCACCACCTCCTCCCCACCTCTTCCTCCCCACAACCTCCTCCTCACCACCTCCTCACCCATCCTCACCACCTCCTCCCCACCTCTTCCTCCCCACAACCTCCTCCTCACCACCTCCTCACCCATCCTCACCACCTCCTCCCCACCTCCTCCTCCCCACAACCTCCTCCTCACCACCTCCTCCTCACCACCTCCTCCTCCTCACCTCCTCCTCCTCACCACCTCACCACCTCACCACCTCCTCCTCCTCACCACCTCCTCCTCACCACCTCACCACCTCACCACCTCCTCCTCCTCACCACCTCACCACCTCACCTCCTCCTCCCCACCTCTTCCTCCCCACAACCTCCTCCTCACCACCTCCTCACCCATCCTCACCACCTCCTCCCCACCTCTTCCTCCCCACAACCTCCTCCTCACCACCTCCTCACCCATCCTCACCACCTCCTCCCCACCTCTTCCTCCCCACAACCTCCTCCTCACCACCTCGCCACCTCCTCACCACCTCCTCCCCACCTCTTCCTCCCCACAACCTCCTCCTCACCACCTCACCACCTCACCTCCTCCTCCCCACCTCTTCCTCCCCACAACCTCCTCCTCACCACCTCCTCACCCATCCTCACCACCTCCTCCCCACCTCCTCCTCCCCACAACCTCCTCCTCACCACCTCCTCCTCACCACCTCCTCCTCCTCACCTCCTCCTCCTCACCACCTCACCACCTCACCACCTCTTCCTCCTCACCACCTCCTCCTCACCACCTCACCACCTCACCACCTCACCACCTCCTCCTCCTCACCACCTCACCACCTCACCTCCTCCTCACCACCTCACCTCCTCCTCCCACACCTCCTCCTCCACAACCTCCTCCTCACCACCTCCTCACCACCTCACCTCCTCCTCCCCACCTCTTCCTCCCCACAACCTCCTCCTCACCACCTCACCACCTCACCTCCTCCTCCTCCCCACAACCTCATCCTCATCACCTCATCCTCTTCCGCTGCATCGATCGTTTGGATGCTGTGACGCGCACGGAGGGACGAGGACGAGGTGGACGAGGAGGTGGACGAGGAGGAGGTGGACGAGGTGGACGAGGAGGATGAGGAGTCTAACAGCGTCGGTTGGGTCACTCTCTCTCGCACAATCAGTGGCGATTTTTGCCCACAGCAGTGGCAGCCTGCAGCCACTAGAGGCGCTACTCACACACCCTGCACGCAAGTTAGAACTTCTTTCGC